GGACTTAGACCCCATGCTCTGGGAAATCCTGTCCAGTGGACTGCCAGAGGTACCACCAGGTGGATCATAAAAATGAGTCTGGATGAAAGTATTGTAAAAAAGGCGTTTTTTGACCCCCTATAGTTAAGGGATCAAAGGATCTGGTAAGCCTCCAATTTGCTATCACAGTGGTGCAGTGTTCACACTGGTGGTTATACTGGAATGAAGAGTTTGGACAATTTATCACAAAACAAGAGTATTGTTCTATATACCCCATAGGGACTGTTACACATATGTCAACCTTTTTGCACTTTGGCATTGGTTCATTATTGAGCACTTTATTCACTGTTCATCATTGTGTTTTATGTAATAATTGTACACAATCTGTGTATTATTTTGTTTTCACTTTAGCGCAACACTAGAGATTTATTTGAATTTGTTATTTACAGCTAAAAAATCTATATGGCTGCACTTGAATTCTGGTATGTCATTTCCATATGTTATCAAGTAAATGTGATCCTTTAAAAGCAAAATGAACTATACAACATTTTAATTTAAAATGTATCAATGCTCATATGTGGGGCAGCACAGTGGCTAAATGGTTAGCACTTCCGCCTGGCAGTACTAGGGTCGTTGGTTCGAATCCCAGCCACGGCACTTCCTGCCTGGAGATTGCATGTTCTCCCTGTGCCTGCGTGGGTTTCCTCCCACACTCCAAAGACATGCTGGTAGGTTAATTGGATCCTGTCTAAATTGACCCTTGTATATGAATGTGAGTTAACCGTTTCAATACCGTGCAATTTTACACCTTCCTGCCCAGGCCATTTTTCAGGTTTCAGCGCTCTCACACTTTGAATGACAATTGCGCAGTCATACAACATTGTACCCAAACTAAAATTTTATCATTTTCTTCACACAACTAGAGCTTTCTTTTGGTGGTATTTAATCACCGCTGGGGTTTTTATTTTTTGCTAAATTAACAAAAAAAGACCAAAAATTTTGAAAAAAAAACACATTTTTCTTTGTTTCTGTTATAAAAGTTTACAAATAAATAATTGTTCTTCATAAATTTAGGACGAGATGTATTCTGCTACATGTCTTTGGTGAAAATAACCCAAATTAGGATGTATTATTTAGTTTGTAGGAAAGTTATAGAGTTCACAAACTATGGTATAGATCTGAAAATTGATCAATCCTGAAGTACTGACAGCCAATCTAATTTCTTGAGGTCCAAGAATGTCAGAATAGTACAGATATCCCCAAATGACCCCTTTTTGCTGAGTATACAGTCCGACGTACTTCATAAGAGGCATGGCGAGTTTTTTGAAGTTGTATTTTTTTGTCATAATTTTTCCGAAAATGAAAAAATGAAAAATATTATTTTCACTATTTTTTTTTTTTACATACTGTCACCAGTGCAGTACAGCGTCATCATATAACTGGCATGGCGGTGAACAGGGACACTGACTGGTGACAGTATGAAAAAAAAAAAAAAATTATATTTTTTTTTAATTTTTTTTTATTTTTTTTTATATTTAATTTTTTATTACATTTTTTTTTATTTTTTTTTAAGATTTTTTTTCATATTTTACTATGACCAAAATAGTACAATGTTACCATAGTAACATTGTACTACTTTTGGGAAGTGATCAGTATTTTTTTTTTTTTTTTTTTTTTTTTTTTTTACACAATTTGCTTATAGCAAAGAATTACTTTGCTATAAGCAAGCATTTAGCTGAATGAAATCGATTCATTCAGCTTTTTTTTTTTTTTTTTTTTTTTTGTGCTTAGCTGTGATTTGGTCACAGCTAATCACATGACATGTGCATGTGATTAGCTATGACCATTCACAGCTAGGCACTAGTATACAATGGATGGCATCATGAATGAAGCCATTCATTGTATACAACTGTCATGTGACCTGCTGTGATTGGTCGCGGCAGGTCACATGGTACCGGCAACGGGAGCCGGTACTCGGATCTGTCATCGGCCGTGTCCGAGGTGCACGGGCGGTGACAGATCCCGCTGCTGCGCCGCTCTGCAATAGCGCAAACGGCGCATGTGCGGGAGCACGCCAAATGGCGTGGACCCGGAAAGCTGCAGCGCTTTTCAAGCCGCCAAACGGCTATTGGCCGGGCGGCTAATGGTTAAGGACCTTAGATTGTACACCCCTTGAGGGTTAGGGACTGATGTGAATGTACAATATATACATGTAAAGTGCTGCATAAATTGATGGCACTATATAAGTACCCAAAATAAATAGAGAAATATTTTAAAATATTTGAGGTCAAAAGCGAAAGTAGGGAATAGTTTACATAACTTTCCGTCTTTGTTGTTGCTGTACCTGTACTATGTTTCCATAATGTTTTGATATACCACTGCAGTCTAGAGAGAAAATCTGCCAATTCTGGTTATGGGGAATGGGGAATATAGATAGTTGCTCCTAAAATATTTGCTGTGGTGAGTGTTGCATGGCTTAATCACCATGACCAAACACTATTTTGTGTGTGTGTGTGTGTGTTGGGGGGGGGGTGCTTAGCCCTTGACAAACACAGACTTATTTGCATACAACATATGGGGCCCCATAGTGACAGATCAAGGCGATAGGGGGAGTAAGTTAGAAGTACCAGAGGACCCCTTGCAAACACACCTCTGAAGTTTTTGAGATGAGTAAGCATAACACCTTTAGCACAAAGTATGTGGGACAATTACACACCCCCTGCCATACCTCCAGTCATATGGACCAAGGAGAATTAATGCACAAAATATTATTTATCAACCACTTTCAGTCCAGACACTTTTACCCCCTCCTGTCCAGGCCAATTTTTAGCTGTCAGTGCTACCACACTTTGAATGACAATTGTGTGGTCATGCAACACTGTACCCATATGCATTTTTTTTGAGACAGATAAAGCTTTATTTTGGTGGTATTTATTTACCACTGGGATTTTTTATTTTTTTTGCTATATAAATGAAAAAGTCCAAAAATGTTGAAAAAAGTGTTTTTCTTATAAAATTTTGCAAATAAATAATATTTCATCATAAATCTTGCCCAAAATTTATTCATTTATCTTTTTAGTAAAAAAAAATACCCAAATTAGTTTATAACCAAAAATGATAATTTTTTAATTTTTTTTTTACATTTTTATTTTATTTTTTTATATTATTATTTATGTTTTTTTTTTCTACATACTGTCACCCTAGCAGTACAGTGTCAGCCTGGTGACACTGCACTACTTGGGGGGGTTGATGAAGATTTTTTTTTTTTACACTGATTGCTTTTACACCCATAAAGGCTGTAAAAGCAATCATTTCTCCTTCTCTCTGGCTGCATTCTTGCAGCCATTGAGAACTACTGTGTGAGCTGTGATTGGTCACAGCTTGTCACATGGTAAAAGGCTCTTGTGAATAGTCTTGTACCATGTGACCTCTGTGATCATTCACAGATTTCACACGTAGTAAGTAATGATGTCAGAAGTGACATCTTGCTTACTACTCTGCATGTGATCACTGATTGTCCAATCAGTGATCTCATGATCGGGACCTTGCACAGAGGTCCCGTACGACGATCGGTGTTCCACTGTGTCCTCCGGACACAGCGGGCACCGGATCGTGGTGCTGCACGCTCCCAGGGAGCACAGTCCATAATGGCGGGTGCTGTTTATGAACGGCAACCCGCCCCTGGAGTGCCACCGTCCTGCCGTTTATATACAGCGGCCAGATGGCAAGTGGTTAAACCCACAAATGTCTTTTTCACTTTTCCTTTATATTACATTTTCAAAAGAACACATGTTGGATAAATGGTTTGGTGCAATGTTCCAATTTTTAAAGTGAAACAGTAAATTTTTAACCCCTTCCCACTGCCACCTACTGGCCCTTCAAGAGGTTCTAAATGCCAGGAGGCAGAGGCAGGCATTCTGATCATGTGACTGCTGTGATTGCCAGTCACAGTGGTCACATGATCGGAATGCTCCCGATCACAAGTAGGCATTGAGAGCTTTACAGTACCTGCGGGCATGCACTCTCAGCACAGAAAATGTTTACATAGGGGCGCTTATATGTGTCATCTTGGCATTAAAATCCACCTGTAGAGAGGCTGCAATATGTGATCATTTATAAAAAAAAAGGGGAAAAAACTGTTTATAATTTTTCTTATATCTATACACAAATGTTTTGCCTTTCATTTCTATTTTAAACTGATTGGATTGTTTTACCAGGTGAGGGTTTATATATAATTCAATGGATATCTATACATAGGACCACAAAAAGAGAGAGGAAGAGAGGGATTTGGCTTCAAAAATGGGATAGTCCCTCCAAATGAGCTGCAGGGTAAGTTTCTGCCATAATTGCTTAAATAGTTGAATATAATATTTTGCCAAAAGTATTGGGACGCCTGCCTTTACATGAACTTTAATAGCATCCCAGTCTTAGTCAGTCGGGTTCAATATTGAGTTGGCCCACCCTTTTTAGCTATACCACCTTTAACTCTTCTAGGAAGACTGTCCACAATGTTTAGGAGTTTGTCTATGGGAATGTTTGACCATTCTTCCAGAATTGCATTTGTGAGGTCAGGCACTGTTGTAAGGCCTGGCTTACAATCTCTGCTCTAATTCATCCCAAAGGTGTTCTGTCAGGTTTAGGTCAGGACTCTGTGCAGGCCAATCAAGTTCCTCCACTCCAAACTTGCTCATCCATGTCTTTATGGGCCTTGCGTTGTGCACTGGTGCGCAGTCATGTTGGAACCGGAAGCAGCCATCCCCAAACTGTTCCCACAAAATTGTCCAACATGTCTTGGTATACTGATGCCTTAAGAGTTCCCTTCACTGGAAGTAAAGGGCCAAGCCCAACCCCTGAAAAACGACCCCACACTATAATCCCCCCTCCACCAAACTTTTCACTTGGGACAATGCAGTTAGGCAAGCACAGTTCTCCTGGCAACCACCAAACCTAGACATGTCCATCGGATTGCCAGAAAGAGAAGTGTGATTCATCACTCCAGAGAACACATCTCCACTGCTTTAGAGTCCGGTGACGGCGTGCTTTACACCACTGCATCCGACGCTTTGCACTGAACTTGGTGATGTAAGGCTTAGATGTAGCTGCTCGTCAATGGAAACCCATTCCATGAAGCTCTCTACGCACTGTTGTTGTGCTAATCTGAAGACCACACAAAAAGTTTGGAGGTCTTTAGCTATTGACTCTGCAGACAGCTGGCGACTTCTGCGCACTGTGCACTTCAGCATGCACTGACCCCCCTCTGTCATTTTACATGGCTGACCACTTCATGGCTGAGTTGCTGTTGTTCCCAGTTGCTTCCACTTTGTTACAATACTACTAACAGTTAACTGTGGAATATTTAGTAGGAAGGAAATTTCACAGATGGACTTATTGCACAGGTGGCAACCTATCATGGTACCACACTTGAATTCACTGAGCTCCTGAGGGTGACTCATTCTTTCACAAATGTTTGTAGAAGCAGTCTGCTTGCCTAGATGCTTTTTTTTATACACCTGTGGCCATGGAGGTTATTGGAAAACCTGAATCCAATGATTTGGAGGGGTGTCCCAATACCTTTGTCAATATAGTATTTATTTAATGCCGGATACGGACAACTCCCATTGATAGTGGAGGGGTTCACTTAGGATCCAGAAGAGATCTGACATTGTACCGAGTTGAGTGAAGGGGATTGGACAGCACAAGTCATTATTGATATTACAGGTTAACATGTGGAGCTGCACTTGGATGGGGGGACTCAACTTGTGTTGGGCAGGATGGATTGGGGATGGGGGTGGGTGGGAAGCAGGGATGTTGGGAGATAGTGTTTGCCCAGAATTGGGTTAAAAACTCTATAGATCTGTTATTTACTGGCTGTCAGGTGTGCCAATGTGTACTTGAAATTCACTGTGACCTTGATCCAAATAAAAAGGAAATACCTAGCCCTTGGGTATAGATAATATCAGGATGTGTACAGCATCTTATCATAAACCCTGCTTTTAAAACAGGCAGGCTGTTAAATGTCCAGGCATGACTTCAAACACAAACTTGTTAGCTGCCATCACAGAAGCTCTATTAACAAACAAGCTCTTTGTACCACTTCTGAGGAAGGGAACGTAATGGGAAGTAATGAAACATAACTGTGTAATTAGGCTGATTGTTGAAGTATTCAGTACACTGTTTAGGCATGCAGACTGACAGGGCTCTGTAAATCTTGGATGTGATTCCGCTTAGCAATAAATATTGGATTTGTCATAAAATAAAAACACTTAGCCATGCAGCATCTCCCTAACTTACTTAATGTTTGTTAAAGGAGAATAGAAGGACAAATGTAGGATTTACTAATGTAAGCTATATTACTACCTCAATGCAAATACATAACACCAAATACAAATTACGTGCTCCAATGTATAACAATAGTTTTTAACCACTAGCCTACAGGGCACTTATACCCCCTTCTTGCCCAGGCCAATTTCCAGCTTTCAGCATTGTCGCACTTTGAATGACAATTGCGCGGTCATGCAACACTGTACCCATATGACATTTTTATCATTTTTTTGAGACAGATAGAGCTTTATTTTGGTGGTATTTAATCACCTCTGGGAATTTTATTTTTTCTTAAACAAACCAAAAACCACTGAAAATTTTGAAAAAAAAAATTTTTTTTCTTAGTTTTTGTTATACAATTTTGTAAATAAGTGATTTTTCTCCTTCACTGATGTGCGCTAATGAGGCTGCAGTGATGGGCACTTATAGGCTGCACTGATGGACACTGACAGGTGGCACTGATGGGCACTGATGAGGAGGCACTGGTAGGTTGCACTGATGGGCATTGGCAGGCATCACTGATGTGCACTGAAAGGCAGCACTGATATATGACACTGATATATGGCACTGATAGGCAGCACTGACTGGCACTGATAGGCGGCACTGACTGGCACTGATAGGCAGCACTGACTGGCACTGATAGGCGGCACAGACTGGCACTGATGCGCACTGATAGGTGACACTGACTGGCACTGATAGGTGGCACTGATTGGCAGCACTGATAGGTGGCACTGATTGGCATTGATAGGTGGCACTGACTGGCACTGATGGGTGACATTGAAAGGCAGCTCAGATGGGCACTGATATGTGGCATTGATGTGCACTGGTATGCACTGATATGTGGCATTGATGTGGCACTGATGGGCACTGGCACGTGGCACTGATGAGCACTGACTACTGGCACTGATGGACACTGACAGGTGGCACTTCTGGGGCCACACTGATCATCAGTGCCCTGATGATCAGTGTACATGTCCCCTCCGCAGAAAGCCGATTACCGGCTCTCCTCACCTCTCGAGCTGTCAGCGTGACAGCTCTAGAGGAGAGAAATGCCGATAACTGGCATTTCCGTGTTTACATGTAATCAGCTGTGATTGGACACAGCTGGTCACATGACTGAGCTGACATCTTTGGCTCTTTCCGTGATCCACTGTGTCCAAGGGACACAGCGCACTGATGATCGCCGCGCTGCACGCTCCCTGAGCCGCGCATGCGCGGTGAGAATAGAAGGACGTCATATGACATCCTATCAGAACGAGAGAACCACCTTGCGCTCGTGATTGTACTATATGGCAGGCGGAAGGTGGTTAAACATTTATTTCATGCATGCATATTATTTATGTAATAATTAGTGATCAGCTGAATGTACTTTGTTCCACTTTAGGGCAGGTTCGCAGAACATTACTGAAGTTCAGGTGCCAAATCCAAGCACCACTGAAGTCAATTTTAGTGTTTTCTGTTAAAAAACAGAAATTACCACTTCCTAAGCAAAATGGTTGGACACTGCCCTGGGGGACATGTTCCGTTTCGTAGAAGCAGCAATTTTAACTACTTGCCTACCAGGCCAATTCTGACACTTCTCACATACATGTAAAAATAAATATATTTTTGCTAGAACATTACTTAGAACCCCCAAATTTTATATATATAAAATATATTTAACAGAGAATATAATGATGGGTGTTGCAATTTTTATGTCACACGGTATGTGCACAGCAAGTTTTTAAAAGAAAATGTTTTGGAAGAAATACACATTAATGAATGTTATAGCACAAAGACACAATATAATACCCAGTTTTTGGTAAAATCTAAAAGATGATGTTATACCAAATAAAATAGATACCTAACATATCATGTTTTCATTTAATTTAATTAATTTAATGGCATAAGTGCATGGAACAGCACCAAACTATGGTACTTAGAAATCTCCATAGGCAATGCTTTAAATGCCTTTACAGGTTACCAGTTTAGAGTTACACAGTAGGTCTGGAGCTAGAATTATTGCTCTCGGTCTGATGTTCATGAGGATACCTCACAAGTGACCTCATGCATATGTAATCACCGTTTACATATGCATGAGGGACTTGCGCATAAGCAAGGATGATGGAGGTGCTTTAATTTTTTTTAATAATTATTTATTTTATTTTAAACTTTCTTTTTACACTGTCTCTATAATTATTTTAATTAACTTTATTGCTATCACAAGAAATGAACAATATCCTTTGTGACAGCATGGGCAGTGAGAGGTCCTCTTTATGGAGAGATCTGGGATCCTAGACCCCAGATTTCATCTCTGGCCTCCAATCCAGCCACTCAGACACAGATCAGTGACAAAGTCCTCATCGCAGGGGTCACAGAAAGGGAAGAACAATGTCAGTTCCTCTTTCTCTGTTGAGCGCTGCTGTTGCCATAGTTTGCAGCGGCCCCTGGTTCCCTGATTGGATGGGAGAGTACCTGAAAGGTGATGGCAGCAGCAGTGGGGGTGTCTGTATAGGTGATTGGCCTGGCATCATCCTGGTATAACCACTTCCCTCCCAGGACATCAAACGATGTCCACCACGGGAAAGTGGTTAATATAGCTTAACCCCTTTGCTGCTAGAGGCATTTTTGCATTTGTTTTGCGCACAAAAATCACTTTCGGGGCCTGAAGATTATTTAAAACACCCAAACATATATTTTCTGAAAGAAGATACCCTGTAGAACAAAATTATGGTAGCTCCATCATTATCCAAATATCACATACTATTTTCGCAATCAAGCTCAAAACTTCAGTAAATAAAATACACGAAAATTAATTTTATGGCACGTAAATGCAATATAGTATCCAATTTACCCAACATGCCAAGCTTTTTTGCGTGTGCCTGCAAAATGACTGCGAGTCTCAGAACCTTACACTTTCCTTAGGGGACGCGTTTAAAGCGCCTACAGATCATCAGTTTAGAATTAACCATGCAGAATGGGCCTAGAATGATTGCTCTCACTTATGCATGGCGATATGTAAGATGTGTAGTGCAAGTGATGTTTTTCACCCCAGATGGGGCCCTTTACATTTGTGTGTAAGCTAAAAATGTTTTGGTAGGGTGGTTAAGTGTAGTGTTTATTTCAGCATAACTTTTTTTATTATTTTTTTTTTTTAACTTTCATTAAAATTTTATTTATTACTTGATGCCACCCATTTGTTTATATTTACCTGTCAGTCAGGGATTCTCAGGCTGGGCGGAGATGCATCACTGGTTGTTAGGATGCTGGCAGCCACTGTTTCCCTAACGCCCCTAATGTCCAGGCGTCTTGAGCATGACGCTGTCTCATTTTGCAGCAGAAGTAATAGCCTGGTTGCTGACCCCTCAAACATTCTCCTGCCAGCTGGGAAACCTGCAGCTGCATATAAGACAATACTTCTACTACAGATAGCCATCCTAGCATTAGACCAAACACAGTAGGCTCAGTTTCTGAGTTAAAAGATAAGTTCACCTTCGGGAACATGTTACGTGTTCCACCAATTTTTAGGGTGGAACATCTATCATATTCCGGCTCTTGTAACTCTCAGCCCCAATCCCTCCTCCCTGTGACAATGCACTATCTTCTCCCTGCATCTGCAGTCACAATTTAAAAAAAAATTGGGCTCCACCTACTCGTCCACATCATTATTTCACAAAATTCTGTGAATGAGAGAACTACAACTACCATCAGCCTTTGAAGCTGACAGCTTGTAGTTCTCAATGAACTACGAGGGTCCTGTTGAGCATTCTAGGTAGTTTTTTGATTCTTCCTTTCATTGTTTAACTGTCTGCCCATACAAGGTACTGGCAGACAGCTTACACTGACAATCTGCTAAAGCCCTGCATTGTACCCATGATATGCGGATCATAGGTGCAATGCTCTGCAAGTTCCTAATAAATAAGAAGATTAAATGCTGATTTTTTTTACCTGCAAAAAGATGTGCATTTATTATTTTTTTAAAAAGGTGAACTTTAACTTCCCAGCTAGGAAACCTGCTAGACATCTGCACACTGGAAATTTTTGATTCGTTTTCGTTTTGGATGCATTTGTTCACTGAAGAATTTTGTTCTGTCATATTTGTTATGTTGAACTGATTCATTTAGTTATTCTCTGCATTTGTTTTGTATATTCGTTGGTCCTGCTGGATTTGAAACATTTTGCAGTGTTTTCTGAAGATTTCTAAAAACTTCGGGTGGATTTGACATTCATATATTGAAACTATCCAGAAGGTTTCAATATTTTCAGACAGAATGGAACAAATAATGCAAAATTTGGCGACCCCCCGAATTCTTCAAACCGAAGAAATGCATTAGACTGTGGAACTGAACTGACTGACTGTGACAATTACAAATTTAATTTAAATCACAAATTTACTCAAATCCAAATGATCAAACTAATTAAAAAATGTAATTCATTTGCCCATGGGCCCGAACTACTATTATAGCATGTGACGTCATACGAATGAAACAAATGCATTCATTAATTTTGTAATAACTTTTTTTTTAATGCATTTACATTCATTACTATGTGCATTTGGAACTTTGTATACTTCAGAATCTCAGCAAATCAATTTGTTATGAAATGAAACACACATGTCTACTGCCGTTGCATTTAAGACATTATTTCTACTACAGACAGACATCCTAGGGTTGGACCATACACAATAGATTCAGTGTCAGTTTCTAGAGTTAAGCCCTAGTTGTGGAAAAGAAGGCTGCAAGTTTTACAGAAGAGACTCCATGCTACACATGCTAGAGCCAGTGGCTGACCATGGTGATATACAAAAAGCACCATTTCTGATGTACCATGTGATTTACTTACACATAATACTGCCTATAATTTACTTCTCTCAATCTAGCACCCGTTGGTATGTCTTCTTGCTCTACAGGCTCTACCCCCCCTCCAGCCCACCTAGTGTGTTTGCTTGTACCAAGGTGTCCTGCTATGCTGAAGATTACCACCAGAGGCTATAAGTTATTGAAGTTCTTTTAACTGTTGATATAAGTTTCCAATTGTCTTTCACTCCAATGAATATGTTTGTTATTACATTTAGATTGCACCCCCTCCTCTCTCTGTTGCCTATTATAGGGAAATCTGAAAGAGTCTCTTGTAGAGAAGGACTGCTATATAGTGACAGATGCATTAACGAAAGAAAACTAATGTTAATACTGTTTATATAGGTGCCTGATCTGCTGATCAAGATCTTGAGAAGATTTCAGTAAACGTTTGCAGCATAAAGAGAAGGGCATTGTATCCTATTATGCTATCAAAGAATCTTTGCTTTGAGAAGAGAAGTGAGTGATGGTTACGGGAAAGAAGAGGGCAAGATGTACAGTGTATAGCAGTCAAACAGTAGTGGCTAAATTGAATGAGTACATTATGTCCCTCAGGCCTGGTGCCTGTTGAGGAGTAACAATGGAGTGAAATCATGGGGAAGTGGTAACGAGTAGTGAGTCCAAAAGATGTGAGCTGGTCTCTTTCTGTAGAAGATAGGGATGAGTCCATTGGGCACTGCAGGATATAACATGGGGCACTTGCTTTTTTTGTAGTCTCTTCATTAGCCCCTTCATACCCTATAGGCTATATTTCCTCTGATTTAAAACTATAGCTAATTTTATGGTATAGTACCCTTTTGTTCCGTGATTCTACTTGAATAGGGCAGTCTGACTGTGTTCTATGATAACGTGCAATGAATGTCCTTATTGTAGGCTTACTGATTCAGTCTCCAAATGCCTTGCTTAGAGAAGATTACAGGATTACATGTACTAAGTAATTGATTGTTATTATCATTGCCTGAGAATCACATAAGGTACAGTTAAGTATAATCCTGCTCCTAAAAAATCAAGGGTCTCATCATCATAAAGAAAACATACTACATTTCAGAATCTTGCCAATTGCTCTCAAGGAAGAGATAATGTATATTATAATCTATCCTCACCAACCCTCCCCAACTCCACTACAGAATTATGTGTTCCTTTGTTAATTTATGTTTTTCTATCTAGTGGTTTCAGAACCCCCCCCATTCTCCCTCCTTGCTTAGGTGAATTACATGCAGTCCCCCAGTGCCTTCTGCGACATGTAATGTGCATATTTCAAGAGGCAGTTGGACCACTGAACATTATGTAGCACCCTCTAGTGTGCTACTAGAAAAGTGTAGTTTATTATAGGCAAAGTCATTGTTTGTGACTCATAATAGATGTGT